CAATGAGGCGGTGGGCATCGGATCGGCAGCTAAGGTGTGGGGGAAACTAAAAAATGGCGTAAAATTGGAAGCACTGAACGTTACTGAACGTTAGATCTATAGAAAAAAGACACTTCCTTTTTTCCGGACCCGAGTTCGAATAACTTTTTTTCATATTCGGACTCGAGTCCGAATATGAATTTTAAAAATTCGGATTCTAGTCCGAATATGAAAAAATGTTATTCGGACTCGAGTCCGAATAAAGACGGCCATTTATATATATGTATATATATATATAGGATCTACTTTGACCGGGGAGCGCGCAGGCCCTATAAAAAGGGCATAGAGACGCTGACCTTTTTCAATGGAAAATTTCTTATATGGAAAATGACGTAGTAAATTACAGGTCAAAGTCATAAATAGTGACCAATGACTTTGCAAGTTATCTTGACCTCGTAGAGTGTCTCTTGGCCGAGAAATCGATTGATAAAGTGACGCGGTCCAACCAAAGATCGTTCATACGAGATAGTTTGTTCACTCCTTTCTTTGAGTCTATTAAAAGAGTGTCTGCAAAATCTGGAGGCGTCCTTGTCGAAAAAGAGCGGACTTTGCGAACAGTGTAAACCCTACTTATGTGAAAAACAATAAAAATTTGTGAAACTAACAAACTGTGCTATTCTTTCTTCTTCTGGAGAAACGAAAGAGAGCTTCAAAACAAAGACTGCAGCGCCATCTGAAGCAATGCGTGGATTTCTGCGGACACTTTTTTGGCCGAGTTAACAATTTTGTTATGTACGATCTTTGGTCCAGCTGAGCGATTATCAAGGCCGTGAGCATGCTTAAAATTAAATCTAAATCTATACTTTAGAGGGCTCTACGTAGGGAGGGCCATACACATAAATAACCATGATGCTGTGACCTAGGTCAGGGTGGGCAAGCCCTACTCTTGTTGCCAAAACCGGCAAAATAGTAATTGGGAACCAGTGAGTGAACTCGTCACACAGTGAAGTCAGTTACAGCTGAAAAATGTGTGGCGAGTTCACTGGAAAAAAAGTATCCAAATAACAGTGAACGACACTCTTCGGGAGAAGTGGTCCCGACCTAACTCCTTAGAAATTTATACATGTGTACACACTCTGAAACAAATACGGAAGTCGAGTAAAAAAAGCTGGCGTAAAAATGGGTTTGGGCCTTTTCTATAAATTTACGATGCAGTTCTACACAGTTTTGTCACTTGTGTCTTTCTTCCTCCTTTTCTGAGCTTTTTTCCCCTTCCAATCATTTAATCTGATAGGCCTAACTTTTGCTTCACCCCCTGTCGAAGTTGCCCCGTTTCGCCCATGTCGAATTTGCACCTGCTGTAAGAGTGAAAAGTATGCGACGACAGAGTTTTCTGGAGCTTTTTGACTAAAAATAGAAAGTAGAAGCCTAGGAAGCACAGATTTTATTTTTAGATAGAATCAAATGTGCAATGACAAACGGGTCAAATGATACGCAAAAGCCAAGTCTAGGTTGAGCGGCGTTGAAGTTGCCCCGTGGCTGAATTTGCCCCAACCTATGTGACGAGATTAGTGGAGGTATGTGACAACTTCACCGTGTGACGAGTTCACTGATATCCTAGTGTGGGAACTACCGAAAAAGCACCAATACTTGTGCCTTGTGCATTGAGACTGCACCTCTTAACTTTGACATTTTGTCTTGTAACTCCTAATCCAGGTGCCCATTATGGATGGGATCGGGTTGAGTCGATGGCCCGACTCGTCGCCTGAAAACAAACGCATTTGTTTTTTAGGAGACGAGTTGGGCGCAATCAGCTTGTGCCATGATAGCCACGCGCCCTCAATCTGACTAGCAAACCGCCTTGACCTGACCCGATCCCCCAATGGGCACCCCGTATAATAGATCTACATGAGATAGTTCTACCATTTTCAGAATTTTCGTTTATTCCTAATGGAGCTAATACATGGTGCTCATTAGCAAGAATCGCTTGTGTTCGGTTTGGTCATCATGGCTAGCCAGATTTTCTTCCATGGAGGGAGAAAGACTACTATCGTGGCACAAACCGAACGAAATCGACTCGTATGACCTTCATTGCCTTCAAGATTCAGGAACAAAAAAATAAATGCGTAGGGCCTAAGTCTTAACTTGTTTTGAATGCTGCGAGTCGGGCGATTAGGCTGAGGCAAGGGTCTATTTATATTGTACATTGTCATTGATGATTGAAGCCACCAGAAATTGAACTGAACCAAGCGAAACTGAACTGATCCTCCAGGGCATTCCCTACATTCATGCGTTGAGGCTAACAAGGTACTATGGCAACAAATCTAGACTTAGACCGTGATGCGTAGAAGGCCCCTAAGCCTAATTTTTTTTCAAACGTCAGTCATTAATTATTTAGTGATGGTCTTCACAGCTTTTTTTCTAGTTACATTATAATTCAAAGAATTATTAAAGTAGTGCAAACTGTCAGTTCCAGTAACGTCCGTGATAGAATGCTGAAGGCCTAATTAATCATCTAACATTTTGAGGAAAGGTCACTGCAGGAGTAAGGTAGGGTTTTTTTAAAGTGACTTTCCTTCCTTTGGAGTACATCTTTCATGCTTGCCCACCTGAAGACAACGAACTCAAAGAAAATCAGCAATTAAAGGTAAAGACAAGGATTTTGCATGCCCATTGCATCTTTTGTTCCACATCTTCTCTTATAATTTCAGAATAAGAGTAGCTTGTTTTTCTGCTGGATTAAACACAAGCTCTCCAAGTTGGCACTGATAGTGGTAGAGTCATATCCTGCCCACTTCCGAAGTCAAAATTTTGTAAATTGTACTGATGGAGGCATGAAAATGTTATAGTTCAAAACCTGTATATTAAATTTTTTTTTTCTGTGCAGACTTTTCCCCTGCTGAATTGTGATTTAGACTAGCTTCCGAAAAGTTGAGATGGTCCTGATGGGCAGACAGGTACTGCAGTGACGAGAGGACTGTTTTTCAGTAAAAAGATCTCATCAAACTTCATATAAGAAGGTTCGAACAAAATTGAAGGTAAGATAGTGTATGGTTCTATCATTCAAGTTTGTAGAGCAAAAGGTTTGTTAACTCTTAGATAATAAAAGAATCAGAATGTTTGTGGATTGTTGTAAAATTAGATTTTGGCTTAATTTTTTTGGAGAGAACTTGAAGATTGTGTGATGACAGTGGACTTGCATTCACTGTAAGTTCTCATGATTGAAAGTGTGGTTTGGTACGCACATTTGTCTTCCTCACAGGTATAGCAGTATGATAGCTGCTGTTGAAAGATATCATGTGTGCAAGTTGCTGTAAAAATTAAAATAGCTCAGTGCGTAACTGACTGAAGTAGTCTAGATGTCATCATTTTGATAGCAGTTGAATACTCTCAGCAACTAAAGAAAGTGACCTGCAAAGATATAGTTAAACACAAATATTTCGAACACAGTGAGGGTTGACTAATGTGTTTGACACATCTGTTATCCGAGTAAACTGGGTTATAATAAAAGAAGAGATATATTTAAGAAAGTCAAGGGAAGTACCTGTGACGGTAAAATGGTTAGAAACTAAATCACTGTCATCACGAAAGGCATTGGAGATGGATATTGAATTCGGAGGTCCTGTCTCATAACCTCAGTATTGCAAGGGGTCTTAAACCTTTGCCGTTTTGCAATTTGAATTCATATATCTGGTATCAATAGTGCGTACACCTTGTTCAGTGTCAAATAAAGAGAAAGGAAGAGAGTGATGCTGATGAGCATTACAACTAAAAAAATATTACTCTTACATCTGATCATTATAATGTGGAGGCAACCAACACTGGTCAGAGCACATCACCAACTCTTCCTGTATAATCACTTCATCAATGATCAATCCATAGATTCAAGTTCAAACAACAGCACACACACATGATATCACACATGCATACAAATGTGCACAAACACAATCCATACATCGTAAGGCCCAATGTAGTGCCACTGTCTGTCTGTGATCACTCCCTGCCACCCAGCAGCTACCCTCACACGACTGAACTCAAGGAGGTTTTAGTGCTTTATGCACACTTCAAGTAATGTACGGTGAAGCATCCAAGTACCCACAGTGTGTGTGCATCATGCTTTGTGAGGGGGGGGGGGAAGCCTTGTAACCTGATACTCTCAATGACGTTGGGTGTGTTGTTTTCCATCATGCTTGCAGGGCGATTTGAATTCCTCTCAAATTATGAGGAAAAATTTGATCAGGCTTTTTGAGATAAGTAGTTCGACTAATCCATATAGATGTTTGAGAAAACAGTTTTGCCAACATAAAGAAAATATAGCAGATCAGTCATGGGGGGCCGGGGGGGGGGGCTGTAAACTTCAAAGAAATATTCTGGTGGCTATGTTACAGCCTGTCAATGTGTTTCCTATTGAAAGGTGAATACTATTCAAGAAAGAAACATCACACGCTGTATTGTTTGCGCCATTTTGTGATGCTCTCAACAATGCTTAAAAGGGGAAGTAGGGTAACAGCATCTTCCATATTTAAGGCATTTGTTCTCTGACACTTTGTACAAATGGGCAATCTTTGACTTGTATTTTTTGTTGTTGTTGCTTAGTTACATGTTTTGATGTTTTCAATAATTTCAGATGCCTGGCCGGCTGAAAGTGAGAATTTTGAGTGCTAGGGACTTGCCTGTGATGGACAGGGCCAGCGAACTAACTGATGCTTTCGTTGAGGTAAAAAGACCTGAAACTAGCAAAATTCATACATAATGAAAGTGGTTGGCCAGTGCTCTGGTGTGGTTTTCTCCTTCCTTCCTATCAAACATCAATCAATCTTATCTCTTCTTTTTTTGATATGTTACTTTCAAGTAACACTTCTTATCTTCTGCACAAATGTGTCCCTGCTGGTCATTATCAGTCATATGAAGGAAATTTCAAAACTAAGTTAACATTATTTTAAAAAACTATCATCTTTTCTCTACTATTTAAAAAAAGAATGAAGTAAATATGGCCATATTTGACGAAAATACAGAACTTTTAATTGTGCGAGGTGAGAAAACACGAAAATGAGAAAATGGCCTCCGAAGTTGAGTTTCCATAGCAATGGGGGTCTTAGAATTGAGATAGAGACTTGAAATTTAGCAGTTATCTTGGCTATGCCACTACAAAGTAAAGTACGGAAGTAGAAAACTATTCTTTCTCAGAGCAAAAACTTATGGACAAAACACAATTTTCACGAAAATGGACTTCACGTCAAATGCAACAAAATATTAGTATTATACTACTAGGTATCAGATACTAAATTTTCAAAGTAGCTTTAGGCCTATGTCAAATTCATCTGTTTCATATTAAAGGCCTGAGAATTTTGGTACCATACTTTTACCTCTCAGTCAATGTTTAAGAAAATGGCAGCTGTTTCAATTTAACATAATAATCAAATAATGCTGAAGTCGCTAACTGATTGCAACCCCATGATTGACAGATAATAAAAAAGTACAGTGTGCACCAAACATCTCTACATTAACAGAGTACAATCAGTATAACAAAGAAATGAAGCCTAAATTTTTTTCAAGACTGTGAGATCATTACAAATCAGTATTCTATTGCCTCAAACACGATGATCTGTCTTTGTATCAATAAAAACACAGAGCGTTGTCTCAGCCGGTGTTGCACAGGTCCCCACAGCGAGCGAGTCGGCTAGCCTAATACTGAAGTGTACTGAGTACTCCCCGGAGTTTCACGGAAGGATTCTTGGGAAATAATTCCAAGCCAATGACTTTACCTTAATAGAAAAAGAACTGTTCTTTCTATTTGTACTTTTCTTTTTGCCGGTATTTTACACATTTCGTGTAAAGAATGATCTTTGAAAACTTACACTTTTTTTTCAAGGTTTTGTATCCAAAACGCCAAAGGCTAAAAAAAAATATCCTTGTGAAACCACGCTCAAAGCTGTATAGTTCTCTGCCAATGAAAAGACGGTATTTAATCATCAATCTTTCTGCAAAGCATTCGAATGCATGGGTGTTAATTTTGAACCGGCCGACCTCGCATTCCGACCGCGAGGGGTTTCCCTTTCCTCGGTGATTCTCCAGCTCCAAATAGTCAGATATGCAAACAATTTACACTATTGTAACGAAGAAAATCTGAACTTTTTCAACGTGTTCAACATTTGTTGTTTTATAGCAAAAGTGCAAAGGAACACAGATCTGAATTTCCCCCATTTCATCGAAACCACGCGCTTGGAAGGCTGCGAGTCGGCTTACGTGCAGTATTTACGCTACCTTATTACAGTCGAACCTGTGTAAGACGGAATTGCAAGGGAGCCAGAAAAAAATTCCGTCTTAGACAGTTTTCTCTTAGACAGGGGAATTTAGACGAAGGTGGAAGGGGGGGGGGGGAAAAAATATGTCGGAGGTGGGGTTCAAAGGCCCTGCCAATGGAATCAAGGATCGCTTGTCCGGTCGACAAGCAGTGGTCAAAACTTCACACCTCTCAACTGCTATCCTTCTGATACTGACATGCGTCACTCTTACTTATCCTGTTACCACCTGTGCTTGCCTTTCATGGGACCACTTTTTGACCTATTAAAAACAGAAACGTTTGAACATCTCCTTTGCTTCCACCCTTAGCCCCACCCATAGGTGTAACGAGCACAGTCAACCAATGCGACCCCTCATTGCCATCATGTAAAAATGATTCGAGGAACTCTTTTTCTCGGCTGTCGTATGATCTGGGCGGCAGGCATTGGTCAAACTAATTTCACACCTCTGGCTTCTGGCTACCCAGGAAAGTTTGCGTAGTGGCTCGATACTCGAGCACTCTCACGTGCAATCGTGAGATTTCACACCCACACTACCCTGACCATCTGCATCGCTCATGGCTCTTGCACCCCTACTCCCCTTCCTCGCTTAGCGGCAAAGCCATGGCATAAAGTTTAGAGCCGGCGGAACCAAACTTGCGAGTTTTGTTTCGAATAAGGGCTGAGCAGACAAAGCATTTTCCGTCTTAGACAGGTGAAACCCTCGGATTTTTCTTTCCGTTTCCGCATTGGACAGGTTTCCGCTTTATACAGGTAATTAAAGAGGAATATATCAAGGGGGGAGCAGGGAGATTCTGTTAAGACAGGTTTCCGTTTTATACAGGTTTCCGTTAAGGCAGGTTCGATTGTGTACTTATGCAATAGCACCATAAACACACGAGAGCACACACACACACACACACACACACACACACACACACACACACACACACACATACACACACACACACACATGCACATGCACATACAAACACACACACACATACACACACACACACACACACACACACACACACATGCACACATACACATGCACACTCACACACATACACTCACATACAAACAGACCAATAGGCATGCACACACATGCACATAGACGGCCTCGGTGGCCTTTTGGTAAGGAGTCCGCTTTGAGAGATCTAGAGGAAGGTTAATTAATCTTTAACAAGCACTACAACACAATAAAAACGGATTTTTTAAGTCAATCCAAGTGTAAAACTGAAAGATCAAAAGACGATAACAGCTAGCAGGGCACGCCCACACAGTCAACTGTTTACGTAAAAATGCTTGAAGTGAGCTAGAAGCTACCGTTTTTACTCCGTTTTACCAATCAAAGTTGTTTACATTTCTGACCATTCATGCTCGAAAAGGGGTTAAAATCTAAAAATAGTTGCGGATGATGAACGTCGAAGCCAAGATATTCCACTAGTGGAGAATCCTTTGTTGAAGCAAAGGTGGCCATGAAGTAATGATTCTAAAAATAATCTCTCAGCAACACACTAGCAAGGTCCAAATTCCTTTGTCTCGTCAACCAAGCTTACAACAAACCACACACACCTCCAAAATAAATCGAAATAGAATATTTATAGTCAATTATAGTTGTTTATTTTTATTTTAAATGAAGCAGAAGACATCAAACTTTCAACAGACCCAAAAAACTAAAATTTTTGTCTTTCGAGCCTCGTAGCTGATAATAGCACACTGTGTCTTATGACAGATATTGAGCGGGGCAAACAGATATACGACATGACTTAATTATGTTGCAAGTGCTGTACAATACTTACTAAACATATATGCATTACGAAAAGATTTCCGCTTCCAACTGATTTCGCTCTGTACCTGCTAGACTTTTATGTTTTCATAGAAACCCTTGTGAATTAGATACTTGGTTTTGTTTAATAGATAGATTTTCTTGTTGAAATGTTACAACACAATCTTATCAAACAGATTTACACATTCTTGTTCTACTAGATAATGTTTCTTTCAATACTAACATTAACACATTCTTGTGGAACCGATTCATGTTCTTGTGGAATTTTGTTGAATGGATACACGTTCTTGTCGAATAAATGCATGTCCTTTTTGATGAGATACACGTTCTTGTTGAATGGATACATGTTCTTGTTAAACATTTTATATCATACAATGCGTTGGAAATAGGTACTTGTCAATTATATTATTAGTTTAATTATATATCTATTCATATGCACTTTTTAATGCAAAAAGTACCCATCTATCTTGAACAGAAGTTGAGATATTTGTGAGTGAAGGTAGGAGTCACCTGGTGTCAGAATTAAAATTAATATGAAAATGGCCGCAAAAGTGTGGAAGTCAACACTGTAGTGTCCTTGGAAACTGCCTTTGATCCACGTTTTTCAGTAAAGTCTTTGCAAGAATATTACTTTAGATGGAGATAAAAGATACTGAGTCCAAAACAAAAAAATTCAATAAAAATTTCCAAATGGGTGGAAAAATATTGGTTTAGTAAATTTCATTATTTTGACGAATGTCTGCTGATGTCACCACAATGCTACTCATATGTTCATGTGTGAAATAGACACCTATTTAAAAATTTTTTCTTTTTAAATCAAATGCTGTGTTTTGCATACATAGACTGGAACGTACGCTGTCCCTGTTCTGTCTGATAGGTTCGCTTTGGCAGTGATACCTTCAAGACAGATGTGTGTAAGAAGTCCCTGCACCCACTGTGGAATTCTGAGTGGTTTAAATTTGAGGTAAGGCAGACTCCTGTCTTCATGTGATTTAATGCTTCATTTCCTTTTGTTTACTCATGACATAAGACCCATGCTTACTTTATGGGGAATATGGAGTCAGAGGCCAAGTGTATTGTGTCTGATATTGCAATTGTATTCTCTTCATATTCATGTGCAGTTGAACCTAATTAAGATGACTACCATAGGTCGAGGAGAAAAGTGGCGATCTTAGGCAGGTGCTCCTATCAGACAGTGTCATTGTAATATATGAAAAAAACAAATCATGGGGAAGTGGGAACAGGTCGCATGTACATGTGATTGTCTTGGATAGCTGGTCATTAAAGCAGGTTCCTTGACTCCTTGACTGTATTTTATAAGAGACAAATTTGATTTTACAGAAAGTATAGGCCTGATTTCTGAGCTATTGATGTTTTTAGTTTTTTAGTTTTAGTAGAGGTTTTACAGTGCTTGCAACTGCATAAGGTCATATGAGCGCCAAGGGGTGGATGTCAACGGAGAAGTCCTTACAGGCATTCAGACTTACTCTGCTCTCCTCTCTAGCTTCAACAGCACAAAGTCTGCTTCGACTGTCAAGGCACCCTGGAAATAGCGGGTCACAAGAGTGTGACAAACATACAAAAGAAGTAGAGGACAAATGACGATAGAAAGGATTAGGAAAAAAACCCAGCAGTCCCCTGTTGCAGATCAGGCACAGTCATGAACATGACATCGATGAATCGGCCCATTTACAATTCTACTGTGCTTAAGAACAGGTTAATATTCCCTCTTTGGGAATGGCCTAAAGACACTTCAGTCAGTAGCACCACCTCAGGGGGTACTATTGATGTTTCTATCAGTTGGGTCTTTGAATCTTTGAATAACCACTCCGCCTCTTGTAAATTGAGATCATAATGGCAGAGGAAGGTGGTGAGGTTGGGGGGGGGGGGGGGGGGGGTGGCAGAAAGAGAAGAAGAAAAGGAGGATGACAGTAAATAGTCTCAAATGTATTCACCTCTTCATGTGATTTTTTTTTTTTTAGTTCTATTTTTTTTGTAATGGTAAAAGCCTAGTTTATGCATCTCTTCAACAGGTTGATGATGAGGTCCTTCAAGATGAGCCCCTCGATTTAAGGTAAGAGAAAAGTTCCCTTCCAGGAGTTTAACAAGAAAAGGCATTATTTTTGTGTTTGCATTCTGCAGCAATTTCTTTACGTGTGATATCGTGATGCTCTAGTGTAGTCTTTTCCAATTTTGTTTCTTTTCAGTGATTCTGTTTTCTTCATATGTTCCTGGAGAATTATGTCTGTTATCATATTGACTCGTGCTGAACTTCAATCCTGTGACGTCAACTTGAATTTAGCTATGGCTTTAGCCAATTTTGAATCATGCTGGTCTGTGACGAAGAGCATCCTTGTTAAAAATGTCAGTGGAAAATTTACAAACTTTGGTTTTTTGCATTATCTTCATGACGCTCCTTTGACCTGGTTAGTTCATTCAGAAAATGACGCGGAATCGGAGGCCCCATCTTTAAAATGGCTTTACTGTGTTGAAAAGGGATGTTGAAATCATAGAATATGAATATCTGTGATCTTTGATGTTTAATGCCTCTACTGACATAATTTATATCATAAAGGTAGTGGGTACCGGTGTCTGTGGTGTAGGGGTAAGGCACCTTGCTGTTGTACGTAGAAGACATGGGTTTGATACCTGTGTATGGTGAACCGTTATCAAATATCTCTGTCTTTCTGCTGGGACGTTGTGTCCCTCTTAGCCCAGGTCGCCCTGTCAGGCAAAGTGGAAGCTGCTCGTCTCCTAAATAGTCCATATTGTGTCAACAGGGGCATAAGACATCTGCAGTTACAATAATTATTACTTGCTGTAGGATGTGGGGGCTGCTTTGCTTTCATGCCCAAACTGGGAACTGAAGGGTCTTATGCATCTGTTTCCAAGTAAATATCTACCCTGTGTGGGAGTGAAAGTCATGCCTTCGGGGATGCTGTTTATCCCATTATTTCTGTTAATTTCACCGAAAGAACTGTCTTTATTCTCAGCATTTGTTTTCTGTAAACTCCAAATCAGTTGAGTTTATTTACTGTATTTCAGTTGGCAAATGCAACTTCGTAAATTTCCAGTTATGTCCCCAAAATTCTAGTGGCATCCCTGCATTTCTTTGCATAGCTTGACTTATGGAGTATGACCCCCATGTACGCAGGGTACTGGACTATGACACGTACAGCGCCCATGATGCCATTGGGAAAGTCTACATTGACCTGAACCCTTTGTTGAATCGAGAGACTCCCAACACCATCAGTGGCTGGTTCCCAATCTACGACACTATGCACGGTAATGTTGCTTGTAGCATGGGCTCAAACTTTTACCCAGCAAAAGCTGTTGTGTTTTGTATGGTTTGATTTAACTTTTGGGTTTGAGGGCCTCAAGGGTACAAGGGTATGGGTACCTAGAGGGAAAAAAAAAGGGGGGGGGGGGGGGGTCTGAGGTGTTGGATTCCTGTTGAAGCTAAATATGCCACATTGGGCAGAGATGTTAAAAGCTGGCCTCCTGAAATCTATTAAAATACCAGACTTCTATAGATGAATACACTCTAGCTAAGTAGTAACTGACAAAAAAGGCCCAAATCCTACAGTTTCACCTTGTTGGCCATACATTTTGAGATCTTTGAAGTTCTTCAGCAATATTATATATATATTTGGCATGCTTTGCTAGAGACATTAAAAATTTCTTCTGTGATCCCTTTTATGAACTTCCTAAAAGTGCAGTTGCACTTTCAAGTCAAGCTTTCCACAGTGCAACTTTTATTTGATGTGGACAGTCTACCGAAAAGGACATTTATTGTGCTGTTTTTGTTGTTGTTGTTTTTTTACAGAACAAAATTTAAACTGTGCACTATAAAAATGCCCTATAGTTCATCACATTTGTATTAATATTTTCACTGCAACGTTCTTTTTAGTTATGAGTGGAAACTTGATAAATTATACATGTTCAAATTTGCCCTAAATCTAAAATAAATACAAACCGAAACACTCTGATATACTTATTCAATATTCCTCTCTTTTCATTATGCCTAATTTACGCAAAAGAAATCAAAGCCTCAGAACAAGTCTGTTCAGTACTCAGTATAAACCAGTAAATGTGTCATGACTCGGTGATATCATCTTAAAGCTTGTCCGTTTGCCTTGATTTTGGCGAAGTTATTACCCATCTATCTTGAATAGATACTAACAATTTTTAAACAAGAGGAACTCATCCTTTCAGAGATGGATGTTGAAATTTTATGTTCTGTCTTTTAGATAACCCTGCAGTGTTGGAAGGGCCATAACCCCTTACAATTCCCAAGCAACTACTTAAGTTTTCCTCAGTTTCAGTTGACTCAGACCAAACGGGGATGTAAGTGTTTCGGTCTGTGGTGGCGCTATTCTCTGCCCTACTTTACCTTCGCCATAGGCCCCGAGTTGAGCAATGCCACAGTCAGCGAGCTGTCCCCAGACCTCACTAATGTGGTCCAGTCACTCCGACTGTCCTTTAGATTGTTCAGTTCTCCTTGATTGTGCTTCCTGCTCACAGTTCCAGATGCTCTTTGCCTTCGTTTTGTTTTGCCCAGTAGGTTCTATGTGAAGATGGAATAGTATAAAAATCAAAAGATAGCTACTCTAAGCCCTGGAGAAGTGGTAAAAAAGCTATGTTTTCATAGCAAACAGAAGGTGAATCCTAGTAAATAATTCCTTCTTTCAGGACCCAGTGATAAGGCCGTGTGAGAATTAAAAAACATATTTTTTGGACATTCTCTGTTTTCTTAGGTATCAGAGGTGAACTGAATGTGCAGGTGCGAGTAGAACTATTCAGTGACTTCAATAAGTTCCGGCAGTCTTCTTGTGGGATTCAGTTGTTTTGTAGTAAGTATTAATTGTGTATGTATACTTCACATGCTTTTTATGTTACTGTTCATCTCAGAGTTTGAGCAATTTCTGTAGAAGAACAATATTAAGTTCTTCTTGGTTTAATAATTTTGGTGAATGCGGGAATGTAAAGTCAAATTTTTGACAGTTTCATCTGTATTTAATTAGTTTTGAGCATTTGTTGTCTTTCTTATGGCAATGCTTATTTGGGATCTTGTGTGTTCTTTCCTTTTCTTTGAGATTTCTGCTGTTTATAATATGATCTTGGATATTGCTGGAAAAAAACAACTTTTTCTTGGAGGGTCGTTATTTCAAATAGTGTTTTGTCTTGCTTTTTATTCTAGACAGGACTTGCCCTTGCTCTTCTGAGGATATGGTATAGATGTAACACAGGTATAGACACTTTAAATAAACTTCTTTTTCTACCTTTTTCTCTCTCATCAGCCAGCGAGGTTCCCACTGGGTGGAAGGTTCAGAGCATGCTAGGATTTATTGAGGAGCTGGTGGTGAACGATGACCCAGAGTACCAATGGATTGAAAAGATTCGAACACCGAGGGCCTCCAATGAGGCTAGGCAGAGACTGTTCTCTAAACTCTCAGGTACACTGTGTTACTTGTCCTGTCTGTCTGTCTCAAGTACGCTGCGTTGCTTGTCCTGTCCACTTGTCCTAGAGTGGGTTGCCACATGGTTGAGCTCTTCACCTTGCCCTGTCTGTTTATCTCAGTCTGTGGCCTAATGGAACACACACATACATTATGAATGAGATGAAGGGGATGGGGGTGGGGGAGAGAAGGAGGGTGGTGTTGTGAATGAAGATGTTGAGGTGTGGGCTTTCTGTAATTGTATTTTAGAAAATAAACGTTTTGAGAATAATTTTTCAAGGGCAAATTGTGCTGATTTTCTGTCTACAATATTGATTTTCATCCATTTATCCTGCATATACCCCGCCCCCCCCCTTCCCCCTTTTTTTTGTGGAGGATAAAAGTGCTATATTGCCAGGAGGGTAGTTCTTGAGTTCTCATAAACTCTGTTGCACGTTTATGTGTTCAGAAAGAGGCTGAAAAATAAAAGTAGATTCAGACAGAATTTTGCTTTTGATTTGGTAGGTGTTTTATAGCGTTCACAGCTGCATAAGGTCATATGAATGTTCGGAACATGTTAAACATTTTTAGTTTGGTAGGAATTAATTTTGAATTTTTAACTGGGTGGTGGCTGAAGCCTAGTCTTATCGATTTTAAGACCACCTAGGGATCTTTATCGTGCACACCTTGCACACTGGACCGCCAAGATTTTTTTTCTCTCTCCGAGAAGGCAAGGTGCTGAAAGACGGCACTAAGAAAGAGCTAGGAGTCGCAGTAGAAAGAGTCGTGAGCCCAGAGGAGGGGGTGGGGG